GAGAGAGAGAGAGAGAGAGAGAGAGAGAGAGAGAGAGAGAGAGAGAGAGAGAGAGAGAGAGAGAGAGCTTGGTGACATTTGGATCCAGACTCGACATTGGACTTCAGACATTTTGACGAGGGATTATTTGGGACTTGTAACAAGACTTGGTGTGGACGACTTTCCCATCTCTCCCCTCCTATTCTTCTGATCCCCTCCTCTTCGTCTATGCATGGCTGGACCTGGCACCTCTTCCTGTGTATAGCGCCAGGCCGCTTCACACCTTGTGGTGAGAATGATGCATGTTTAGTCTGCATTGCAACAATGATTGGGCTCGTCATTAGTATTCTAGCCTTCTGCTTCACTATCTTGTACTACGTGAAAGAGGTCAGTCCCGGTCAGGTCAGGACTTGTATCTAAGTCTTCCACTGCACTGTAAAGCACCATTTTGTATGTATCAGAGTGTATACTGCTCGTTGAGATTTCACTTGCACTGCATTGTCCATTCACTCCTGTTCATCACATTGCGGATCCTTGGTTATTATTTACATCGCCCAACTGGGCATGTAACAGTTGGTATCACAACACCGCACGTGAATCAGGACAACCTGATCTGACACGTGTTCGGGGACTAGGTAGCTGATTAGTTTTGATTGATTGATTAGAGCACACTAGTTAGCCCCCAAAATCACGATTTTGGACCTCACTGCCGAAAATCGATGTTTATTTATTTTTTCTCGGATTTTGTTTTCTCACTATTTCTGTTGTGGAAAATCGCAATAGCGCAACATCTGAAATTTCCGATTTCGTTTTCTTCTGAAAATTCAAAATTTCGTTGTTGAAAGTCCGGAATATCTTCTTTTTCGAAAATTTCGATTTCCTTTTGCAATTTCCCGTTATTTGGAAATCCGGAATATATCCAGCGGCCTAGCTCAGTTGGTAAGGCACGCAAGTGGCATTCAGGAGGTCTTGGGTTCAATCCCCATCGGACTCATGCACCTTCCTGGGCCGTTGGTCCCGCCGAGTGGCATTGAGCAGAGACTGCTGATGTTCATAAGGGGAGGGGACCGGAGGGGAGGCACAGTGACTGGCCCATCGAAGAAGCTCGGTCCTGATGCTACCGGCTGACCCCTGGCCGGTATCGCCCACCTGCTGTAGCAGGTATCGCACCTGCTGGTGGGTGTGACTGGCCCATCGAAGAAGCTCGGTCCTGATGCTACCGGCTGACCCCTGGCCGGTATCGCCCACCTGCTGTAGCAGGTATCGCACCAGCTGGTGGGTGCAGCTCACGCAGGCTCCCTCGTTGGAGGCTTGAGCACGGATGTGGCTGCTACGGGGTTCCCCGTAATACTATAATGACAATAAAAAAGGCCTGAAAGGCCGTCCTGT